TGCCTATGCATGTGCTAGGGCGGCAAGGGACTATGCCTGCACCATAGCTGGGGAATGGGAAGAAATGGTTACAGCAGTGACTGGGTTGGAACAGGCCTGTCTTGGACTCAAGGTGGGCTGTTCTGGTCTATGGCTCTGAAACACTGGCAGTCACTGTCCAAAACAACATAGCAATGCTTTGTTGCTATGACTCTTAAGACTTGTCTGTACATAGGAAGTGCAATTGTATGGCTATTTTGGCAAATACTTCTAAAGAGTCCTGAGCGTGTAGCTAGTTGCTTTTTTCCAGTGGTGATAAGACATTTTTTGATTCCCACTTTTTTTTATTATTTTTGCTCATTTGCTCCATGGCATAGGCTAATGTTAAATGACAAACTTTTTCAGGAAGAACTGAATTTCATACTGTTCTTCCTTGTATGATTGTGTCCAACAGCATCCACAAAGAAATAAATCTGAAGGGTAACTAAAAAAAACCCAAACAAACCTGGTTTTGTAGCTGCACTAAACAGTGCTCAGAACTCTCATGTCCTAAAGCTACTAGGAGTTAAAGGCTAACAAAGTTAAAGGCTGAGTAGCACTGCAACTGAAAGGGACCTAGGGGTAATAATAGACCATAGTACATCTAAAGTATGTCTAATAGTATGAACATGAGCCGTCAGTGCAATGCTGTAGACAGCAGGGCAAACAGTACTCTGGCATGCATCAACCGATGCATCTCAAGCAAAACCAAGGAAGTGATTCGTCCACTTTACTCAGCATTGGTGAGGCCGCAGCTGCAGTACTGAGTCCAATTCTGGGCACCGCACTTCAATAAGGACGTGGAAAAGCTTGAGGGAGTCTAGAGAAGAGTCACTCATATGATCAGAGACTTGCAAGGCAAGCCATACAAGGAAAGGCTGAGGGACTTGGGCCCGTTCAGCCTTAAAAGAGAAGGCTGAGAGGGGACTTGGTACCATCTTACCGCTACACATCAGGGCAATACATCAAGGATTCAGCGAACAACTGTTTGCCAGGTCACCCTTGGGGAAAACCAGGAATAATGGCCACAAACTCCTGTAAGACCATTTCAGGCTTAACACTAGGAAACACTTCTTTGCAGTTAGGGTGTCCAGACTGTGGAATAAACTCCTTCCAGAGGTGGTGCAATCATCTACCCTGGAAATCTTCAAGAGGAGACTGGACAGTCACCTCACTGGGGTTACCTGACCCCTGTTGTCTTTCCTGCCTAGTGCAGGGCAGCTGGACCCAATGATCTTGTGAGGTCCGTTCCAGTCCCTTACAATCTATGAAACTATGAACTTTACTGCCAATAGAGAACCAGCTACTAAACTTAGTTAGCAAGGGAAATGCTTAGGAATTCTTCAAATTACAATTGATTTCTGATACCTGTAGAAAGGGGATGCAGAGCCTTTCAGCTTAATTTAGTGAGGTGGGGCACTCAGTACACAAAGAGACTGCATGTTCTTGCAACCACACGTAGATGTGAAAACTGGCTTATGAAGAAGGGGCTTTTCCCCTACCAGCCTTATGCTGGGTGCCAGAGGGGCAGTATACATAGGGTAACCATATGTCCTGGTAACCATATTGGCCAGGATAGCCTATAAAATCTGGGACTGTCTCAGCTTCCCAGAGAAAATTTAAGCAAAAGCCCCAGATCAGCAAGAACCTGGGAGCCATGGGGTCGGGAGAAGGGCTGGAGTATCTGTCCAGACATGCTGGAAAGTGCAGTGCCTTTATCACCAGAGCTGAGGCTGCAGGTTGGGACCAGGGGCTAGGTGCTAGCCAGGCTAGGGGTGCTGCACAGGCTCTATCTGCCCCTGCACTGACTCACAGCTCCTGCCCTGTCCTGGTACCTAGAGCCATATTCTGGCTGTGCGCCCCTAGGCCAGGCTGGGCCAGCTGCATCACAATCTCCATGCGTGGAGACCAACCCAGCCCAGCCACGCCCTGCCCTGCCCTAACTGGGGAGGGGTGCACAAACAGGATGTGGCTGCAGGTGCCAGGATGGGCCAGAGCTGTGATTCAGCGTGGGGCAGACAGAGCCTGTGAAGCACCCCCAGTCCAAATGGTACCCTGCCTCAGTCTGAGCTTTGGAGACTTGTCCCAACAGCTGCTCCAGTCCTGCTGGCTGCCACACCCACCCACCCACCAACACGCATACACTGCCCTGGTGCACATGCATGCATATGTATGTGCATGTGTTGTGTGAGCATGCTGGCACACCACCCCCCCCTGCTTCTGGATTGTCTTAAAATTATTATGGTCACCCTAAGTATACAGAACTAAGACAATGTGGTGGCCTGCCTCTTCTTTGCCGTCTATTAAGTGACCTCCACCTGTTCCCCAAGAGATTCTCTCAGAAGATATAGCACATCCTAAGGTTTGCAACTAAGTAGGTCTACAAGCATCCACACCAAAGGCAGATTAGGAACTGTATAACCTACCTCAAAAGCTATTTGGACCTGACGTTAGGCCAGGTCCACACCCTCATGAATTATTTTTTGGAACTCCTGGCATTGTTCTTGGGGAAGAGATTTAACCAGAATGGAAGCCTTTTCATCTTGCTTTCAAAGCTCAACTTTGGCCATGCAAATCTAATAATCCACAAAGTGGCAGGCTGCTGCTACAGACTGGTAAACACTTTAGCTCAGCAGTTCCCAAACTCTGACAGATTGCAGGCCACCAATTTAAAAAGATACAGCCTTATGTACCACCAGCAAATGTTTGTCATATAAAGTAATTTTAATAAATTTGTTAACATGTACCACTGGCAGGTTGTCTGTGTACCACTGGTGGTACCCGTACCACAGATTGGGAACTGCTGCTTTAGCCAAATGAATCCAGGACTCAGAGGTCTGGTTTTTGGGGCATGATGTTGTGCATTTGACCACTCTTCTTTCTAGCCATTGCTGCCTTAACTACAAGACTCCTGTTTGGGGGGCTAGTAGATACAAGCAACATCCTCAAACAGCATATACTTCCCTCACTTGCCTTTGAGATGGATGCAGAGTTGTGCCACACTTTCTTTCCCTGTTTGTCCAAAATTGAATACAAGGGCAGGGCAACCCTATCGGAGGGAGGCTCTTGATCCAAATACTTGTCAGTAATACTTCCTGTAGATTCCTGGAGCAGAGTTGTATCAAATCTAGCCAAATTTGTCAGATTTTTCAAGGGGAAAAGTAGGACTTTCTAATACAGAATCAGTCCTGCTGCTTCTCTGCACCAGAAATATACTTGCTGTCAGGCAGTTTATCAGTTGCAGACGTTTTATGGCAAAATCCCCAACTCTCTCTCAGAATGTCATCCAGCTCTCAGTCAGGTCCCTCAGTGAGACTCGGAGAGACGATACCACATCACAAGATGGTGACATAGTGGGGATTGAAACAGAGACCACCATTTCATGAGCTGATGGAGCTGACTCCTGGGTTTCAGACCTTTTCTGTGGTTCAAAAAGCATCTCAAATGCACTGCTGCTTGGCAAAAGGAGTGAACTGAATGCAGGGGGCAGGTCACTCATCCTTGAGGCAGCCTCAGCAATTAACAGCGCAGACCTGACCACATCTGATGGCATGAATGGTGCGTGCCCCCAGCAGCTGCGGGGGGGCATACATTGCGACCACTGCGACTGTGCGGCATTGTCCTGTTCTGAAACTACATGGAAACAGTGCAGACTTTGGCCCAAAGCTGCCAGGAATTGGGGGTGGGATGGGGGTGCCCCTCCATTGCCTTCACCCCACCAAGCTTCTTCTGCGTCAGACTCGGAAGATAACATGAAGCCTGTTGATGGTAAGAACTAAAATGCCAAACACGTGAAGGCTTTGCCGCAGAGTCAAGCCTCAGCCTTTGGAGGTCCTGATATGGGGCGATTCATGGCGCTCCCCTTTCAGAAGCAGCTGGAAGCCCCACGGAGGAGACAGTTCGCGCCTGCGCCTGCCCCTGCAGGTGTCTGCCTCCGCAGACCTGCGCTCCGGCAACTGCAGCCAAAACAGCGCCTTCCCCAGGCACCGCCCAGGGCAGGGAGCAGGGGCCTCCTCGCCTCCGCCTCGCCTCGCCCCGCCCCGCTGCCCGGAGCGGGTCTAGCCTGTCCCCACATTGCCCAGCAGACT